ATCAAAAAGAATCTTTTGAAATGTTTTTTGTATACAAAGACATAAATTTCAATACACTTAATAGATTTTTGGTGTAACACAAAATAATATTTTATCCATTACATAGTAATTAAATGCATTGATAACACATTATTGATTCAATTTTCAAATAAGACAAACTTGTGAAACATTTTATGACAGACTATATAAAGAGGAGATCTTTATAATAATACAACAGATTCATATTACAGATATGTATCACTCGACTAAAAATTTTCAAACTGATCATTTTTATCAGAGAAAGTATTTTGATGTCAAGTCGTCTATTGTCAGACTTGATTCACAGTTAAATATAATTCAAATCAAAAATAATGAATCTTGTGAAGTATTTTCAGTGATTTCATATTTTCACGCATTTACTGGATTAGCTTATTATGGGAGGCGTAAGACCAGGTTTGAGTTCTTGACTATAATCATAAGTCTCATATTCATCGTATGCTACATCATCTGTCATTTTTCAAGTTTTATTATTGACTTAAATTATGAATTAATTAAATCAAAAAGCATTCGTTTATTAGAATCGCGTTCAGAAGAAATCATAACATTTCTATTATTTATCAATCAATTTATTAAAGTCATTGTCAATCACTTTATTTTGTTATTCAAAGGCAAAAAGTTTAAACGTTTTTATAATAATTTTTATGAATTAACTACAAGTCATAAACTTTATCTGAATATAAAATCCCAGAAAAAGTATGCTTTGATTGCATGGCTCATCATAATAGTGAACATTATCATCGCATCAATTCATTTATATCTCTTGTATTCATTCATTCAAAGTATAACTTATAATAACAATAATAACTGCGAAGAAAGCGATTGTGTTTTACAACAATTGCCTAATAATATAAACCTTTATTTGTTTTTAATAATTAAATCGATCGGAACAATACATTCAAAGGCATTTGACTCGATCATAATTTACATATCACTGATAATTAATGGATATTTCAGTGAATTTTCTGTTAAGACAGTCTTATTATGTGAAGAATTGGATACAACCCCTGCCTATAGTGTAACAAAGGATAGGAATGCAAACAATTTGGAAGAATTACGACAAACTCTTATTGCACTCCAAGAACTCGTTAAACAAATTAATTTCATTTTATCACCCGCTCTAGTCTTCACCATTTCTAGTCATTTAATCAGTATTTTTGGCGGAATTTTTATTGCAATTGATTTAATCGGTTATAAAGATTCAATTGAAGAATTTGAAATAATTCTTATATTCAATTCAGTTATTTGTTTGATATGTTTTTGCATTATTTGTTTGGCTGCCGATTGTGTCAAAAATAATGTTCAAAACTCACTTGAAATCATTCAAAATATTAGAGTCGACCACTTAAATGAGCTTCAATACAAAAGCGTATGTATTAATAATTTTAGTTTTAATATTTAACAATTTTATTCTTTAAATGAAATGTTTTTTAATGCCAGAAATTATTTTACTACATTATTTAGTGGAAGTCATTAATGGATTTTACAAACAATTCCAGATTTGGATCAATATCTGGATCTCAATATTTTATAATTAATAAGAAATTTTTATATTTGGTAAGCTATATTATATAAATTTAGATTGTGTTACTAACACATATAAGTTAATATTAAATTTCTATACAGTAAATGAATCGATATTTTAATGTTTCTCATTTCAGATTTGGTGCACTCTTAGCGTTTATTCCTTAATATTGATCCAAAAGTATTGATATGAATATAACACTATTGTATAAATTGACTACATTATGAATACTAAAACTTTTTCCATAAATATTTATTGTAATGTTATATTACATATATTACTGGACTCTATTATAGACAAAATCGAGACATCAATCATAACAATATTTAATTCAATGCATGATTTGTTTTAATAGACAAGTTTAGCAGTTATCTCACATAATAAATCAAAACATTCATAACTCAAAAAACAATATGATTTCACGGATTTTTGCTCATACATCTGACTTTTACTTTACAAAAGACATAATGATAAATGAATTGAATTACAATTCCTTACTCGTCTATATTTAGTTATCCTTACAATTAATATAAGTCTAACAATTAAAATAAATACTGTAGTGGCATATAGCATAACATCTATTAATATTATTCTACTAAAATTATTATTTTATTGTATACAATAAAAATTATTAAAATATGATACTAAACTATCAAATAAGATTAATTTAACAAAGTCGATTTTTTAAAATTATACCTTAATACTAAAATTGTTTTATTCATATATTTTTTTATCGATTATTTAAATTTTGTTATAATTTATGATGCATAAAAGATATTTGTGTTTTAAATCACATAAAAATATGTTTTTATATCATTAATACAATACACCAAATTTTAAGTACTATAATTAAATTAAATAAGTTAATAGAAATATATGTATTAGCAAAATGTATTATTATGTAAAACTGAAAATAAATTATTAGTATTTTAGTATTTCCAAGAATAAAAATAATAATATCAAAACACATATAATTGTATACAGTAGTAGCACTGAATAAAAACATATTTCATTAGTCTATTAAAGCAAAAAATACTAATCAATAACTTGTTGCGATTCTACACACATATACAAAATGTATTATAAAACAAATGGATTGAATGTACCGTTACTTCATTCGCATGAATGCCATTTCAAATTCATTAGTTATTTCAGACGTTCATTTGTTAACACAATTTGCAATCAATTCATTTGTTTTGCATTTCTTATTCAATTCTTAGGCATAAAATATCGATGTGACCGCACAGTACCGTACAAAACCAATTAGTGCTAATTATTATTACGCAAAAAGGATTGCATAAAATTGTGCTTAATGAATTTTGTGCGTTAATATGAAAACAAATGGTCGCCGAAAAACATTTCTTATAAAAAGTGACGATTTGTTGTTCAAAATGCCATCATTTGATTTAAAGCGAGTAAAACTTGCGCCTAAAAATGTGGCCAAAATTCTGCCCCAGAATAAGGAAAAGATGACAAAATTCAATGAATTCATAATGGGTTCCGTTGAACAGTCTTATACATCTATTTTCGTCAAAGTCTTACTATATTTTTATCGTATATTTGGTGTCACTTTTGGCGGACTAACCATCAGTTCAAAGACTAATACATCGATAATAAGTAATCGATGGAAAGCCTATGGATTTGCAAACAATTTTGTGCTAATCGCTTGCATTGCAATTAATATTTATCTCTGGACTACAATTGATTCAGTGTTTGCAATGAGAAATAAACACAAATCAGTGCTAATGTGGCTCTCAATTGCAAATCGTTTCATGCAATTAGCCGTCATTTTAATCAATTCACTATATTTGCAGCTAAATGGTGCAAGCACAATGAAAATTTTGCTCAAATTTCCTATAAATAGGAAAAAATTACTCATATTATTATCAATAATAATGCTCCAGGTTGCACTTTCATTGATCTTAATATTTATCGAAAGTATTAACTTAACAAAATACAAAACAGTTACTATTGTAATGATATTAATGGAGAGAATATACTTCGAGATATTCAATTGGACTCCGACTGTCATAACGTGGTTCATATCAATCAACACAATGTGGTACTTAAAAAGTGTGCACAAAATTTTGAAGACGGGTCATTTGAGAAATGCATCGAATCTATCAAACACTAGAAAAAGTTTCGCTCAAATCAGAGACCAAATCAATGAAATTGATTCGCAAATCAGTTTTGTTCACTTGTCTAACACTGCTATTGCTATCTATGGCTGTTTGGTACAGATATACGCACTGATGGACAGTCAGACCTTACTGTCCATTACTTACATTAATAACATCGAGAATATAATGAAATTCATAATCAATTGTATAATTCATGGTATGGTTAGCAAGAAAGCAAAGACAGTGTCATCATCTCTGGATGACATAGAGCTGCAAACCGCACACAAAGATGTCTACAAAGAGGCCATTTATTTCTCGTCCATAGGTCGGGACAATTCATTTGGATTCACTGTCGCCAACATATTCCCATTCAACACAACTCTATTCACTTTTGTCAGTCTTTTCGTTCAAATTTAAATTTAATTTTATGCAAATATTCTGTTAATATCTGTTTTTTTTGTTATAGGTTTTGGTCATCATTATGATCTATTCACTGCAATTCATGCAAATTATTAACTCTCGGAAGCCTTCTGTGATAAACAACGGATAAATTCATTACTTTAAAATCAATTTTTATATTCATTATTTGTCAGTCTATATTTTTTATAAATTCATGCATTTTGTTATAAAGTCATTAATTTGTCAATATTTTATATGTATTGTATTAACACCTTTTATTTTTCTATACATTAATATTCACAATATGTTTATATTGATTAGCGCTATGTTTGACCTAATATTATAAAAACTTTTGTGCTCAAGAATATTTTCTTAAAGTATCATATATTCACAAAATGAACATTTATAAAACTATACATATTCATTATTAGAGAATGACCTAGTATATAATATTCTGCATTACTTTATAATACTCGATTGTGTACTAATTAATTTTCTATTTATAATTAAAATATAAATTATCGGTTTCAGTCACCTTATAATCAATTAAAATCTTATAATCATTTGCATAGTTGGAGGAAATTATATGTCAAACTGTGGTCTCCAGGAGTGACAGCAATACCAATACAAACCAATTGAATGCATATATCATTACAAACCACTTATTAATGCATATATTTGTTATGCATATAAATATTGACAACAATAGTTGTAAACAATTAGAAACACTGAAAAATTAGTCATTTAAATGTACCCATCATTAGCCTAAATGATGATTATGTGACACTAGTGTCTGTGAGCACCGGCAGCTTCTGAAAAGGATAGCCCTAATAGTGGGCACCGACTGTACCGGCGTTTAAATGCTTTCGCAGACAACGCATGCGTTTCTCATTCAGCCATCAATTGATTACTTTTTGCAATGATTTTCAATAAAATGTGAGAAAAATGTTGTCTTTTTTACTCATTTACTGTCGTTTTAATTGTCATTACATTTAACGCCATTTCCTTAATCCGTGTTTTGGCCGCAAATACCAGTGTTTTGTGAGTGAATCAGTGCTTTGAATGACTGCTCGTAACCACGGATTCATTGCAATGAAGTTAATGTCCGCACGACTCGTATTGCAATTAGTTTTGATCCAAACTCTTGTGTCACTCAATGGTGTCCACAGTCTATACGAGGATCAGGTGGCGAAGTTTGACTGGAGGTCACGATTTGTGGGACATTTGACTCAGTTATCACACATTCAATCACCGAAATCTTCGGACAATTTATGGCAAACACATAACACCATTGTCTTCGCCACCAGAAGTCATGTGTTGACATCGGTTTACATCAGAAACGGAACCATTCAATGGCGACACCTTCTCGAGTCCCATATCGACCTCTTGGTGTCGACCAACTCACGCGACTGTCCACTCGTCACCATCAATGGCTTAGGCGTTTGGATCCGTTGCTGGACTCTCGACGGTCTCATTGTCTCCGAGAAGAGTCTGACCAACGAATACATTGAAGACATAGAAAGCAATAAGTATTTCATGTCTTAAACTCAATATTCTTGGACCTAATAATTAACATCTCTTTACCACTCTTTTAGGGATAATATTCGTGTGTTTTTCAGCTTAAGTCCAGATTCGAGTCAAATAACAGTTTCAAAGTTTGATTTAAGACAACATTCGCTCGAATTGATTGTATTTGATCTGAAGAGTCAGTCCTCGAAGACCACATCGACTCCCATCTCAACATCCAATTGGTTCACTCCGACCACGTCTTGCAGTTTCCAAACCTCCAAATATCTCATTTGTATCGATGAAAGGGATCTCACTCTTCAGTATCTGATTGTCGGCGAATCCAAGTCCTTCAGCGGTGTTCCTCTGTCTTCGTTTGGTCTTCAAAGTGATGCGAAACCCAAATATCTTAGACTCCAATCGCTTCCATACCAGGAGACCAGTGATAGACCTTATTTTGGTGTGGATTTAGGCGGCGATGGCTATGTGTTATTGCGGGCCAATCACAAGCAAATGGATTTGATTAAAGTGTTTCCCAAAGTGTCGGCCCTAACACTGGCGCCGGTCATCGACTCCAATAGTCTGGCCGTCTGTACGCTTGTGACGAAAGCCAATCCGACGGTTGAAGACGAGCCCCAATCGCTGACACCGACCACTGGCATCAAAATCGCGGCCTTCGATATCGACAACTGGACCGAAATGCCGGCCCTTTCGAGTCAATTCATTCTCAATAACCATATAATTGTCGATAAGTTAGAGATAATTCCTTTAATAAGAAGTGATGGCAAACATAACTATAAGATACTGATATCGACTGAAGACTCGACACTAATAATGACAAACCTATTGGGAAGGACTACGTGGAAGCGGGAGGAGGCGCTCAGTAGTATAAGTAGTGCCGAACAAATAGATCTACCGCTGAGTGAATTGGACGCCAAAATTGAACAAACATTAGGTTTTGACGGATCAAACATTTTCTCGCTCTTTATCACTAGAATATCGACACAAATATATCAGTTCCAGACGTTTACCGCAACTCTAGTCAAGCAATTAATCGCAAGTTTATCTCAAAAGCCGGTCCGACAAAAGTCTAGTGACGCCAACGACGAGGAGGCCATTGATAACAGTATTGATTCGGCGGTCATTCGCGACGACAATGAGTTGACATTAATTAGGGATAAGTTTGGTCTCCACAAAGTGATCATTGCTTTGGCATCCAATGGCAAACTGTTTGCCATGGACTCACTCACCGGTGCCATCATTTGGTCCATTTACGAGCCATTCCTAAGTCATTCACTCGACGCCAAGAATAAGATACCGATTTGGGTGCAGAGGACGACCGCTCACTACCCGTTCCCCTCTCAGTGCACTGTTGTCAACAGGAATGGCTTCATATTTTCTTTCGATCCAATCACTGGCGAAGTGTTGGAGCGAATCAAACTGGAAGTCGATGTCTCGCAGACTATGCTATTGAGTCATACGGATAGCAATCATTTGAAACCAATACTAATACTCGACGACAAACTGAAACCAATTATCTATCCCTCGTCTGCGATGTCACTGTTCTTACCATTGAAAGACATCTATTATATGTTGATTACCAATGAGAGGAACGGCTCCATCCGAGGCCTCTCTTTCACGGACTCCAAGCAAAACGAATTGATAGCCAAACAGATTTGGGCCATCGATTTGCCCACACCTTTAAGTGGTCTTCAAGTGGTGTTTAAGCGCTATGGAGAGCACGTCCACTCACAGGGAAGGGTTATGGGCGACAGGAATGTTCTCTACAAGTATTTAAATCCTAATTTAGTTGCAATCGTTGGCGAGTCTCTTGACTCTCAAGAAAAACGTGAGTTTCAAAGTTAACTAATAATTTGTGAAATCATTAAACAATAAATGGATTGATTTGACAATTTTAGCGACTGTTGTGTTTTATCTGTTGGATGCGATCACTGGTTCCGTCATTTATACAACTGTCCATAAAAGAGCTAAAATGCCGATACATATCATTCATTCGGAGAATTGGATTATTGTATGCATTTTGTGTTGAATTGTGAACTCATGAATGAAACTATCATTTTGTTGTACCCGTAGTACTCGTATTACAACGAGAAGTCTCGGCGAACGGAAATCTCATCGATTGAGTTATTCGAGGGTTTGACTCAAAGTAATTCCAGTGCTTTCTCTTCACTCACACGAAACCCATTGATCCCATCGATTGTCGAACAAAACACATTCATATTCCCCACCGGAATCGATGTCATGGCTGACACTATCACTGAAAGAGGCATTACTAGTAAACATATATTAAGTGAGTGTTGTTTTGTATTCATTAGCTGTATAAATACTAATAATACGTGTATTTGGTGTCCAGTATTCCTTCCATCTGGAGGTCTACTAGAATTGCCGAAAGCATTCTTAGATCCGCGTCGACCTCTCAAACCTACTCCCGAGCACATGGAAGAGGGACTCATTCCGTACATTCCAGAGCTACCGATTCCCGCCGAAGGGATCATTAATTATAATAAGACTCTGACAGCCATTCGAGGCATACAGACGTCGGCCACTGGTCTCGAGTCTACATGTCTTGTGTTTGCCTATGGTTTAGGTTTGTTGTCATTGAGTGGTAATACGAATCTAAATAATGAATAATTGTTTTCATTTTAGACTTATTCTACACTCGAGTCACACCTTCGAAGACATTTGACGTATTGAAAGATGATTTTGATTTTATATTGATATCTGTGGTGTTGATTGCATTGATTGCCTTTTCGTATGCCATCAAATGGTTGGCCGCACGTAAAGCCCTAAACTCTTCCTGGAAATAGACTTTAATATATTATATGATATATTTAATTGAGATTTGTGTAGATTTTGATTAATTGTAATTTTTTAACTTAAACTTAACTATAAATAAAGAATTTATTTCAAAAACAATTGTTTGCATGTTTTTAATGAGCCATAAAATGTGGCGTTAAATGAACTAAATTATTAATATTTAGTTCATTTTATTAATAAAATATTCAATTTAGTGAAAAGATATAAAACAATAATCTATGGAAAATGATTAGCATTTTGTTGACTGATTTTCATCTAATAAGTTGTTAAGAAAATTAAAAAGGAAATTATGAAAGTAATCATTATTTCGATGCTTTGTTTTAGTTTAATGTTTACCGAAACTCAATCAATTCCAGCACTTGAAACAAAACTACAATTTTTCAGTAATCTGAGAAACACTTTTTACTGCAAAGTTAATCTCATGTTTGGTGCCAACCCTGTAAATACGTTCATTGACACATTTGCTGTAAGTTTATAAACAAGTATTGACTAAATGTTGAATTAAAGTTAAAATTACTTATCTTTTGATAACATCTTTTAGAATAAAAGTGGAGAACTTTGTAAAACTTATTGTCGGATGAGAACAATCAGTGACACAAACACAGTGTCGACCACTTATTATACACTCAGTGCTCCCTTATTCTCATTCTGTGGTCCTTTAAGAGTAAAAATTTGTATTATTCTGTATTTTTATATTTATTAATATATATTAATTATATATACCGTATATATTTGAATCATTAGTTCTGTATTAATGGTCAGTGTCTGCCCAGAGTTATTCAGAGCTGGACTGTTAACAACACCGAACCGGAAACTCCAACTGGAAATGTGAGTCTATCTAAATCACTGGTTCAGCCAACTATTCCTAATAAACCCCGACCTCAGCCTCAGCTCCAACCTCAGCCCCAACCTCTACCTAAACCTTCAACTGAAAGTTCCGATATATGAAGTAATACAACTTACAATAGCTGAGCACAAGTAGTATAAATTACAGAAGTACATTTAAAATGTTTAATAGTAGTGTAAAATAATTTATATTATGTGATTACTACCCCACAATTTTCACAATAAATTCTTCAATAATTTATGTGGCAATTCATGTTAAGAGGTATTTCTCGCACTATTTCTTTTACTGTTATATATTAATGAATTTAAAAACATATAGGTAAAGCATGTGTTTGAATAAAATTCTTATTAAAATTGTAATTTAAATGTCAGAAACTACTTATGAATTAATTAATTTATCGGTAATTAATTACAAAATAAAAGACTTTTAAAACAGTTTTAATTTTTACTATTAATTTATTTATTACAATAAAACAATTACGATAACCTATAACTTGTGAGCATTTATAATGTTGAGCTATAAATATAAAATTTTGAGTGTGTGTACCCTGGTCATATGTGAACTTAGTATTGGACGACTGTGTGGTTTAGGGAGATTTCCGGAAAAGATAGATCACCAGTTATGTAGAGTTCAGATGTTTACTAAATTAGATCAAATTCAAGACTTGGAAGATCCGAAAGCGTCGGTTGAGGCATACTTTGTAAGTATGGAATAACCTGGATTCAGTTTATAAACTACTTGTACTGTATTATATATCTTATAAGTTATAACTGTTTGCATATCAGAACAGAACGGGCTATACCTGTAAGACATACTGCAGAATCAAATCAACGAATAAAGAGTTGACTAAAATTTCAGCCGTTTTTGATTCACCCTATTATCTGATGTGTGCCCACGAAAGGGTATTTCATTTTAATAAATGATTAAAAATTATTGTTTAATCAAATAATTGTCTATTGATTGAAAACAGTATTGTGGGAAAGGAGGCGAATGCAAGAGAATTGGCATTCCGTTAGTATTGGACGAAATATCCAAACCCAGTCCCCCGCTAATTTCCACTCAGTTAGTGTCGGACGAGACACCCAAACCCAGTAACCCGTTGTCACCTGCGAAGGCAAAACCTAAGGTTGTAGACGACGCGGAACAGTAAGAGGAACCGCTCTATCAAAGTAGTCGTTTGTAATTATAGGCAAACAAAAGTTAAAACCTATTATTCAATTTTATTTACAGTAAATTTTATATTATTTTAGATGTTTTAGAATCTAGTTTATATGATAACAATTTGTCAAATATGATAACATATGTATGAGTGGCACAATTATAATAAATTTTAGCATTTAACTATTAGTGCATTACTAATATTCCTGTGATATTCCAGGAAATAAATAAATATCCCATTATAGATACAGTAATCATATTTTGCTTGTATTTACTCTTAAGTTTGATTAAATAAAACCTCAATCAATAATATTCTTCACAATAATAAAGATTAAAATTCTTATATATTGTACGATAACTTGAATTCTGGATTTTTGAAGATAAACTTTCTTTGCATAAAGAAAATAACGAAATTAAGAAAATTTGTTCTTTAATAATAAGTTCAATCCTCGGGGTATATAATCTTTGCTCTAATATTATCTCCATTTTCATTGACAATCACATCAGAGGTTGAGGACTCAGTTTCACCCAAATCGGTCACATCATAGGGCGAGAACGTGGATGTCTTTTGCCGGTTATTAGAACCTCTTCGGCCGGGAATTACTTTTCTTTGGCCTTCAATTGCATTCAAAGGTCTCCCAACTCTTCGGTCATTTGATACGCCATCCGATGGCACAGAACCAGAGGTCTGACAAATGCCATCAATGCACTCGTAGATAATAAAATATATTTTTATGTTTTGTTTTATTAAAATTTAAATGTAACACATTTCTAACAATGAACTAACATACCCGAGCCCCCAATGGCCCACACCTCACATTATTGAGTGCAATGTGTTCAGTAAAAGTAGCCGTTCTGTCGATTCTGTTGACTACACGACAATATGTTTTGCAAAGTTCTCCGCTATAGTTCTGTACAGAAATCCATATTTATATTCAGTTCAAATAAATTAACGTATAGTATATAGTATAGATATAGTATATATAATATATATAGTATGTATAGTAAGACAGACCAAAACGGCTGAACTTCTCACTCCAATCCCATAATTCTTTTGTTTGCAGAGGAGATGATCGTATCTATTGGGTCGACGATATCTTTTCATTTCTATTTAATGTAAAAATATTTTATTTTAATAATTTTAATAACGTTACAATGTAAGGTTTACCCAAATTTTGACTAAATATCGGTGAAATCGAAACAAATATCAGTATAATTTTAAGTGTAGTATTGAAATACAAATGCATTTTTAGTATATGAATATAACGTTTATAACACATTAAAATGTTATGCGAATTTTTATAGTAAAATAGTGAATACCTGTAAACAATTTCATGCTTAATGTGAGACTAACTTTGTTTTGTGTGAATTAAATACTGATATTATATTCATTATTTTATTGAAGCCCTCATCCGCTTTTATAAAGACAAACTATTGTCATAAAATGTTTTTCACACAAAAACATTCACTTTTGCAAGAATAACATATACAGTGTTATAAATATGATAAAAGAATTCAATGATATATATTTCATGGCCTCAATTCCAGGTATATTTTTCTCCAATTCTTTATCTATTCACATGTCATTTCTATTGAAAAATACTAACAATTACATTATATTTAGTCTGAAATTTCACAATAAAAGCTACTCTATGGATATTAAAATTTTAAAATTCATTTAATATTAATAACAATTTTGCCAATTTACAAAATATTAGTTCTAAATTCTAATTGACTTATTTAATTATTTTGCAATGACAATTTTTGCAAGTTAAATAATTTGCCAAAACTACCGTATAATATACATATGATATAATATAATATATGTATATTATACAAAATAAACTTTTATTTTTAAAATTATTCAATGTTTATTATTATTTATAATAGATTTACAACTTAATTCACACAAAATTTAATTAATTAGATAAATGATTGAATTATGGTTTAAAATATCTATGAAAAAATAAATGAGTTGTTGGCTCTTATATAGGGCGGGAATGTATGATAGATCCAGTGCTGAGTTATGTGTTGATAGGCTTCTATCACTTCTATTCTCCTAATTAATGGCAATCTATTTGACTTCATTGTCTTCTCTTTCTTTGGTTTTATGCAAAAACAATTTATTTTATAAAAAATTTCTAAAATAAATGCAACAAATGATAAAATATAGAAAAGGAATAGAAAATAAAAAATGCTTTTCAATTTGTCCAGGTTGATTGGCGCGTGTTGATATTTGATTGTATCCAGTTCAATAATACCAAGTCTTAAGGCATCGTTGTTTAACTCCAACGTATTTTTGACCCAATACTCATAAATACCACTTTCAGAAAGTGAACAAATTCTGCAAATTTATAAATTATTTAAATTTCATGTGATATTTCTATAATGTGCTAATCATACAAAATGCTTACATAGAATTGATATGAGAATTGAGTTGATGTTCATTATGTTTAGAGAGTGCAATAAAATATGGCAGAACTAAATGATTAGATTTAGATCTGTATAGGTTTGAATAATTTAATAATTTGGTCGCAAAATAGTAATCATTAAATGGTTGATCACTAACTAAGGCATAGACACCACGGGTAATATCATCAAAAATGTGCTGTTCCCATTTTTGTTTATTTATATTTCCAGCCCTTTCGGGTATACTTCTATTGCTTAATAAATGATAATACGGTTCATTTGGATCTTTGAAATAATCAAAGGCTGGCTCGTCATCAAAGACTCCAAAATCAATACCTTTATTGACTAAATCATCAAGTGAATCTATTATTTTATAAGGGGTACGAAATTCAAGGAATGTTAATAATACTCCAGAATAGCTCAAAATGATAATCAGTGAACCGATTGTCCAAATTAGTGCCATAAAAGAAATTTTAACTTTTCGTTTCAATAAATTTGAACTTTGATTGAAAATGTGTCCAAAAAGACTGATAAAAGGTTTGGAGTTTCCTTCGATGAATGCTCCCAAACACGAGATAAGACAATAGAAGAGCACAAATGTAATCCATGTGTTCGTATCAAATATAAGAAGCAATTGAAACAGTGTATCCCTGGTCTCTTTAGCAGACAGTATAGTAATCATTGGCATATCACCGATACATCGAGACATTTGCATATATTGAATACCAGTATTCATGATAAAATTGGTGGGAGAGACTGGATGTAAAGCAAAGTTTGTCATCTTTTTATCCATCATTTCGTAATACTCCTCTGGATTTCCAGATAATGTCTTTATGTAAATTAAACTAATGTTGGATTAAAATTTTTATTAATAACAAAAAACAATTATTATTTATACAAAATTTACTTTGCATTCAATTTAATGGCCATTTCAAATACAATTCCCAGTAGTGGTCCACATAATTGTGTCAATTCTGAGTCGACTTTCACTTCCACATCAATAAACGGCTGCCAAAACTCGGCCGTAAAACTCAGGTTATGCCCGTTTTGGTGATATTTATCGTTGTTTATAGAAATAGGATTTCCAGATTTAAAAGTATAACAGAATTTATCCCTCATTTTTGACCAACTTTTTTGATAATGAATTACTCGTAAAAAATTGAAACATACTTTCAATTGTCATAAATAATTATATATTATAAATATTTGATGGCATAAAGTCAATACTTTACGTACACTTACTTACATTGAATTTCCTACATTTACAGAATTGTATTTATTATATATAAAACTTTCATATTTCAAAAGGCATAGAATAATATTGAATATTATGGACAGAAGTGGTTGTTCTCAACAATTGTTTGACTTATAAGAGAAAATCTTAGAAAATAATCTATTCGTCGTTTTTATAAGTTCAGATTTCATTGTGATACAAGTTTACAGGTTATAATTAGGAATGCAAGAAAAGTGCATAAAAAGTGTGTTTTTATAACTGGGCTAAATATGGATAGACATATAACCAAATGAGACTTTTTGGAAAATAGCATTTACTTTATATTATACTTTTATTAAACTTTTATAATGAATAAACACACTCATATTCATTATAAAAGTTTAAGAAAAATATAATATAAAGTAAATGCTATTTTCCAAAAAGTCTCATTTGGTTATATGTCTATCCATATATCACTGTGATTCATACAAAACTTATTCATTATTTGAATCAGTTTTTGATTTTCAATATTCTAATCCTTTATAATGAGTTTAGATGAGTATTCAATTGATAAAACACTCAAACCTTTATTAATCGATGAATAAATATATTATGAATAATAAAATTTGCTGAGTAATCAACAAATTTAAAGAAATTTGTAATAGTCACAATTTTATTAACGATTGAGTATTTATATAAACGAATATTCATATAAAATTATTATAAAGAATTAATATTTTTCAAATCAAAAACTGATTAAATTAATAAATGTGTTTTTTATTAATCACAAGGGATACACTTAGCCCAGTTATAAAAACACACTTTTTATGCACTTTTCTTGCATTCCTAGTTATAATATCATAATTTTAAATTCTACTCACTTGTCAGTATGGCCAAGTACTGTTACCAAGTCAGTACATTAATTATTGTTAGGTATATCATTGTTACTTTCAAATTATGTACCAAAATATTTTAAGTTAATGACAGTTCAAATTCCTTAATTGATTCCTTAGCTCTCTCTCTCTCTCTCTCTCTCTCTCAAAATATTTATAAAGGTAGTAAATCATAAATCAATTAAAATACTGGTATTAAAAGGAAACAAATATATAATAATTTATTTTTAAAAATCAATTAGAAAAATGTAAAGTTATAACATCTTTATAATTCTGGACGTCTGTCACAATTGTATTTTCTTTTGTGGTTTGAATTTCAAAGATATCTTCAGGCCTTGGGATCACAATCTGTGGTAATACTGGTATTGGATTCACATCAATAGTCAGTCCAACCGGTGCTTCAATAGTATGAATCTCAGCGCCTGTATTACTATTGTTATCATTGAATGTTGAGGTGAAGGCGTCGTCCAGAATATCCTTTTTTGGTTTCTTAAATCGACTCTTAATTAACTGTTTTCTATGGTTTACGTTATCAGACATTCGCTTAATTATGAGCTCTTTTTCTTGCTTTTTCTTTTCGTCCAAACGTTTCAATTCCTTAACTGTAATCTTCTCTCCTTTGGTGATCGCAATGTCTTTAAGTACTTGTTGTGTAATAATAGACCCCTTTCTGAGGGCGTCTTCATCTGTCTGTTGGACAACACTCTTCTCTGAGACCAACGAAAAGGTGACGATTCCATGCACTCCCTTCACGTGTTTCACTATATTTGAGTTGACATTACATTTATAATCACATAAATGACACTTAAATGGTTTCTCTTCGGGAAAATGAATGATTTTATGGCGCTTTAAATGATGAGCCGTTTTAAACTTTTTGTCGCAAATGTCACAAACATGTCGTCCCTCTTCATGTGTCAGCTTATGTCTACTCACTTGTGATTTGCTGCGGAACTGTTTGCCGCATACATCACAAGCGCACGGCTTTATGTCGGCGTGAGATCTAATCAAATGATATAAATATTGAATAAGGAGTTCACAAAAATAAAGATATATTTGAACCTCAAATGAATGACAAAAGCACTCTTAGAAGCGATCACTTGTGAACAGACGGGACACGCGATCGGAGAGACCCTCTCATGTTTGGCCCGTTTGTGGGCATAGAGTAAGTGCTGGCCGTGTGTTGTGTGGCCACAGATCTCACAGACCACTGATTCCTTCTTCTCGTGGACATACCTTACGATTTGTACAAATATGACAATCAGTTAAATGGACAGAAATAGTGGGCTAATAGTGACCAAACCTGATATGATTGCGGACTTTGTGCTTATCGTTAAACCCTTTGCCGCATATATGACAGCATTGAGTGATTTGTTTGAATTGTTTGTGAGTTGTCTTATGTCGAGTCAAATCAATTCTGGTGTAAAAGGCTTTATGGCAGAGATCGCACCCAAAGGGCCGGTCGTTCGTGTGTCGCCTCACATGCACCTGAAGTCCTGCCAATTGAGAGAACCGTTGGCCACAGTCTGGACACTCGTATACCTTCTCTCCCGTATGCGATCGCAAGTGTATCTCCAAATGGGACAGAGATCGCCATATTTTGCCACAATATTTGCACTTCAAGTCATTGATGTCTTGAGTTCTCCTCCACTTTCTTTTGGGCACAACTCTATCCTTCACTTCATCTGAGTTTTGGTGACAATTGTTTGTCATTTTCTTCACCACAAGTGTCTCTTTATCTTTGGGAACAGTCTTTCGACAACTTCTTGTCTGTCGTTTGTTTTCATGAGTCAAATGACTATCACTTTGACAGACATTTGTCTCGTTTGGTTCGCAAATATCTTTCTCCTTACAGACATCTTGTGGTAAATTATGATCAAAACAATTAGCGTTTAATTGATTTGCAATTTGAGTACAATTTTGGACATTTGATGCAAAAGTATGGTTTGAATAGAGATGTGATTCAGTGTTTGGTATCGTTTGCTGTGCTTTCGCTTCAATAAGACTTTTGTATTGATTTAGTTTGCGTTCAACTCTTGCGATCAAATCTATTCGCAAATCACTGGTAACTGAATCCAAAGTTTGCAAAAGTTTGTCAAACTATTGCACAAAAAGCAAACAAAAATACAATTTATATTCAATCATATTACAGCCAACATTGAATGCAATTATGCAATGATTACCTCTTTGACAAACACATCCGCGTCGCTCATGTCTAATGGTTTGGTTGTAAACTTTGTCACAAATTAAATACAATTAAAATTATAAACAAAATTAAAGACAATTAAATGACACCATAAGTCAGTGAAGTACTCCATACATGCCATACACTCATCACATACTTCACTAACCGCTCAATAGATGTCACAATCATTGCCATTGTATTCAATACTTCTCTACAGAATATTCTTAATGTTTCTAATTATTGTAATTATTTGAGTACAGAATTGTCACGAGGTATTTGTGGCATTCAATTTTGTTTATTTATTGCTTGGTTATTATTAACAGTGTATGCAATGTTTGATTACATATGACTGATAATGAGCTTAGGATGACCTCCAATGCTATTGCATTTAATTCATTTAATATTTAGTCTATAATAGTACTGTATTACAATTTTTAGTGAATCTTCACATACTTTCCAAATTATATTGGAAACATTAATATAATAATTACAATTTTTATTAACATATTTATATTAATTGCAAATTCTATTTTAATCATAGGCTAAATTTGCTTAATATTGCTTTTATTTAAAATTTTAGGCATAAATTTTAACTATATATTCAAGTGACTCACAAATTGATAATCACTTTACACAATCAGCATTTCATTTGGTTGTCTTACGATTTAAATGAATGTTATATTATATAACGAACTCTATTTAGTTTAATAATAATACAAATAATTCAAACAACCCTTTCATTAGATATAAACAAAATTAAAGACAATTAAATGACACCATAAGTCAGTGAAGTACTCCATACATGCCATACACTCATCACATACTTCACTAACCGCTCAATAGATGTCACAATCATTGCCATTGTATTCAATAATTCTCTGCAGAATATTCTTAATGTTTCTAATTATTGTAATTATTTGAGTACAGAATTGTCACGAGGTATTTGTAACATTCAATTTTGTTTATTTATTGTTTGGTTATTATTCATAACAGTGTATGCAATGTTTGATTACATATGACTGATATGCTGCTTAGGATGACCTCCAATGCTATTGCATTTAATTCATTTACCGTAATATTTAGTCTATAATAGTACTGTATTACAATTTTTAGTGAATCTTCACATACTTTCCAAATTATATTGGAAACATTAATAAAATAATTACAATTTTTATTAACATATTTATATTAATTGCAAATTCTATTTTAATCATAGGCTAAATTTGCTTTATATTGCTTTTATTTAAAATTTTAGACATAAATTTTAACTACTGTATATATTCAAGTGACTCACAAACTGATAATCACTTTACACAATCAGCATTTCATTTGGTTGTCTTACGATTTAAATGAATGTTATATTATATAACGAACTCTATTTAGTTTAATAATAATACAAATAATTCAAACAACCCTTTCATTAGACTTGGTATAAATGAGAGTATATTTGGCGTCACTTTTGCCCAGACATTGCTTCCCATATAACACTGATTCGTGATTTACTGAGTAATTTCAACAATTAAGATATTTCAATTGAAACTTATCAAACTTTAAATAGTTTTAAACTTAATAGCTTTGATTAAGTTAAGGCTTATCATTGAAAGTAATACATTTGTGTGTCTGTATCACTAACTTGCAAATGCATTGAAATCATAGATTCACTGTCTGCCAGATTATCATGTCTTCAATTTCATGACTTGACTTGAAATAAGAGAACTTCACATTTGCTTTACTAATGTTAGACGAGTTTATAAGTTATAGGCTATAACTTATAGCCCAACAATATTGTCTAATTTGTCCATTTATTGTTCAACCCTTATTAACATTTAATAAAAACTTGATTGTAAATATTACTTAAGTGAGAATAAGTGGAATTAATTGTAAAAAGTATTGCAATGTGTCCTCATTTACGAATACAGTATATCCTGTATTCCTCTACTTTCACATCAATTTCATATTTTGCATATAATTTAACAGACATTGCCGTCATATGTCTTGTCTCGCATTTCTTAGTAGTCTCATCACAAGTGAATCATTTATTTATTTAATAAAAAATCTTTTCATTTTCTATCAGTTTTATGAGTAAAACATGTCTTTATAATTATCTCATATTATATAATATAAGGAATTCTCCGCTCATTGTATGAATGAATGACTATTGCTATGACTGTATGTTATTGTTATTACAGATTATAAAGCAAATGACTTTTAATAACTATTAGTTGTCGTAAATAGTACCAGGATTTGAAACACTGTATTCATATTCAGTTCAACTACTATACTGTATACCGTAATCATGTACCAGGGCATTATTTATTACTCATATATTTACACTATGTTTAGCGCTCTGTAATAAAAATATTATCGAAATTAAAGGCAATAAAAGTTTAGTCGTTAACAGTATCCACAGATTAGTCCCTTTCAGCCCATTATTTGTTAATTAAACACTCGTTATGTCATTATATTCATCAGTTGTACGTATACTTTGCAATTGCATCAAGAATTGGATATTTTTTCTTATCACTGATTATGACATCCAATGAATTAAGGCTTAACTATCGGTATAAGAATTTTTGCCATAAATAGCACTTCTCTGACACACAAACAGTCATTCACTTGACTATTGGACACAACTATTGAAAAGTCTTGCAAACAATCACTTCTAAAATGGGATCAATTGCTGCCTATGTGTTGATGGCATTGTTGGCCATCACTTGTGTCACAACCTATGGTCAGGTGGACTTCGAAGACGAGACGCCCACCACTACCGTCACCCCCGACGACACCACCACTCAAGAGGACACAACTGTACCCATCATATCGTCCTCTTCGGACACACAGTCATCAGAAGCCTCTTCCGCCTCCACCACAACGACAACCCCTGCGTCCACCACATCCAAGGGGTGCATCAGTGCCCCCGTGGGGCCCGTTGTGGCACTCGTATCACTCGTGGCATCGTATGTAGTGTTCCAGTGATTCCCGTCAGACATCCAAACGGGTCTTCAGATCATACCATTTGTAGCTAATTATAAACACCATTTATATACCATTATTATATTCATAGTTGTATACAATGCTACTAATCTAGCTATACATACAAAAATCACCTTGAAACTAATTGTCAAATAACTGCTTAAATGAAATAAAATTTGCAAATAAATTGTTTAAATGATACAATATTTCATAAATACGGTCTAGTATTTGGCATAATATGTGCCTTGCTTATTCCATTGAACAATTGTTTTGGGTATGCAGTTCAATTTAGTGATTAGTTTGCCACTCATGTGCCAATTGGTGACCAAATGACTGATTGTTGGAAACGTGTTAACAGTAATAATGAATGTTTGCTTCAATGCTGTGTTCATATGAATACAACATTTGTCAAACTTGTATGAAAAGTTTGTACTATTATTGTTTCGTCAAGTGTATGCCATATATAAATCACTAGATATTAAAGAGTCTTATTCTCAATAAGTTATTCACGAGATTAGTGGACAAAGTATGGTATGAATGACAGGTCAATGAGTGGGCATAGATGACCAGACGTTCAGTGCCACCAATCATACTCACACACTGTGAGACATTGATTGGTGATCACACGGTCACTGCAATACCTGTAGAGTAGAGTTGAATGCAAAACGTGCGCTTATTTTGTGAGCCAATGGGAGGCCAGCAGTGAGCAGTTGAGTCATATGAGTGCAGGACTTGTGTTATGGTTTGAACAGAACTGCAATGCAATGCAATGCCATTGACTGGGAGTGAGTGTCACAAGCATTTGGTCCCACTTTGAGCCCTATTATCATCCGATTGTCACTCCGATGACCACCACATCCCTGACCACCACATCCGTGACCCCCATGGCCTCCACGCCCACCACCATCGACGACGTGTGCGACGACGTCCTCATGACTATCTTCGCCCAATACCTCGACCTCACGAGCGTATTGCGAGTCCAACAGGTGTGCCATCGTTTCCATGATCTCATCGCAAACCTCTTCGACATGAAGAGGGCTCTCGTGCTGACCGACGATGACGTGCGGATCAGTCGCTACTCCGTTGAGGACACTGTGCACTACTCGTGGCTATCGGTGCGCCGGTTGTGTCGTCTGCGGGACGGCCTATGGATGCGAACGCCTCGAGGGCTCACTCTCTTGACGCCACTCCACATACAGATGTATTCGCTGCTGAAGTACAGACACCTGACGTCCCTCTGTCTCGTGATCACGAGTCGCAACACCAATGAGCCCCTCCTCGACCTCATAGTCACGCACTGCGAGTCACGGCTCCAGAAGCTGATTGTCATCAACACTAATGCCCACAAGTTTTGCATCGATTTGCCGCAAATGAACCGCTTTTGCGATAAGTTCTCCGATTCGTTGACACACTTCGAGGTGTTCAGCGATTATCTCTACACCGATGAGGACTGCTTCAGACAATTGGTCCTGAGGTGCACTCATTTGCAGGTCTTTAAGCTGAATGTGAAGCAAGTGTTCAAAGAGAATGTGCAGAGTTTGGGATCCAATGGTCAGCTCCACAGCTATGATAGCATTCAGTTCAGTGGCGACTATCTGTCGGAAACGGGTCACCACTTGTCGCACATCGACGTCTCGAACCCAATCCTAAACAACGATGCGATGAGACGACTGTCCGCACAGACGTGTCTCCAGAATGTGCGCCATTTGGGGGTCCAGAGAGTGATGGGCACCACTATGTTGACCATTTGTTCACACTTGCAAGCCTTGCAAACACTCTCCTTCTCGATGGACAACGACATGAGTTCTCGAGACACCGCGAGTCTCATTGAAAGCGTCGGACAACTCAAGGATCTCAAGAAACTGTCGATCGTGTGGTTCGGACACCACTCGTCCAACTCAGCCAATGAGCCGGAAGTGTGCGAAACCACACTTAAAGGGCTTAAGGGTTGTGTGAATCTGAAGAGTCTAGTCGTAGAGGAAGCGATGATCACTCAGAAATCAATTGAAGGCATCGCGCAGTGTGTGCCTTTGGTGTCCACTCTAGAGGTCGTCAATTGCACTCTCAATAGTCTTACCTTTAAGTCAATGAATGGCTGCTCACAACTAAAGCGACTCATTGTCTCGAAATGGATGGATGGGTACGATGTGCGCGAAGTGTTTGCCATCGACCCCAACAACAGTCAACAGTGGCAAGAGTTGACGACCAGATGTGTGGATGTGGGGGTCATTGTGCCCAAAGCGGCCACATATCAGCTCAATGCCCACAACCATATGGAGGATGACGACGATAACGGATTAAATGGATGGTTAGCACACTTCGGACACATTCCCCACGACTACAATGCCTTCCATGAGTTTGTCTTTGACTTCGACCACGACGTGTATTACTAGACTATAGACTGTATGAGATATTAATGTTTTTGTTATGAATATAGATTTCGATATATAATTGCAAATTGTGATCACTTTCAGTATTCAATCGTTAATTCATTTAATATGTATTTATCCTAATTTTCTAATCGTTTCACATTTGATTACTTTTTCCTTTTTTTGAATTGTTTTTCTAGTTTTTTCGACTAAATCTCTGTTTTCATTGATTATTACTGTGTGTTATTTTGGTTTCAAACCTACATTAATGTTAATTGATTTATAAATTATATCATTATTTTCAATACTATAATTTATGCTTTAATTTGATTTTGTTTTAAAGTATTTGAAAAATAAATTTATGTTTCTTTAATTAATAAAAAACAATAATTTTTTTATTTAGAGTAAGTTTTCAATATTTATTCGTAGTATCAGTGAATGACTTAAAAAATAAAATTAAGTTATATGTTTTCGGTCATCATTGTGACCATCATCAGGGCTAAGATGTTATGAGATAATTGATATGATTGTCGTATAACTTGTGTTTGAATTCTTGTGTAGAATTAGTGTTCAAATGAAGATTAATTGTGTTTTACGTTATTGTTTAGCAAAGAATTCATTGTTATCTTCAGAGATAAGATTTGTTGCAATTGAAGGACAATAATAGCATTCATTTTGTTTATAAATATACCATTCAATCAATTATAGCACCAATTATTGTCTACTGCATAGTGTATGAAATCAGACAAATTCAATGAAAATGGTAATTGACTTGTATTTTGTGGGTCCGAGCCCTCCCTGTCGGGCCGTAATGATGGCCGCAAAGCATCTCAATATTGAACTCAACCCTAATTTTGTTGATCTAATGAAAGGTAATGTGAAATCAAATGAAATTATTTGTTCATTCATTATATAATGATTTCATTGAATAAAAGGCGAACAAAAGGAAGAGTGGTTTTTAAAACTCAATCCTCAACACTGTTTGCCTACCATTTGTGACAACGGATATGTCTTATGGGAAAGGTATGAAAACTTCTCATTTGACAGAATTATAACTAAAAATCACTGAATGGTTGTGCAGTCGCGCTATAATGACTTATTTGGCCAACAAATACGCCCCCAATTCAAGCCTATATCCGAGTGATCCGGAAAAGAGGGCAGTCGTGGACCGTATATTGCAATGGGATTTGGGAACTATATATCGAAATATCGGCGAATTCTTGGCCCCAATCATGAGAGACGGCAAGAATGCCAATGATTTGGATCCCGAAAAGGGAAAGAGAATCAAAGAAGCGCTTCAGATATTGAATGACTCGCTGGCAGTGCAGAGGTTTGTGGCCGGGAATGAGATCACTTTAGCTGATCTCTCGGTTCTGGCGAGTCTTTCATTGGCAGAAGTGTTTGATTACGATATGATCAGTACCTATGATAATGTGAAGGAATGGAGTGATCGACTCAAACGAGATCTGCCTTATTATGAAGAGATCAACAAAGAGCCGATCACTCTCTTCAAGGCTTATGTCAAGTCGAGGGCCGACCAGAACACCAATAGCCAGTGAAATGGTTGCAAACAATGTCCAAAAGCATTGTCTAAAAGTTATTTTATTATATTTATAAATCTTATGACAAATAATTAATTCTAAGTTCAAATAATGATGTCTCAACCACACCATCATACCAATATCTGATCCAATATTATCAATACTGTATCAATATTTAACACAAAATTCAATGAGTAATTGATGAGTAAATAATTAAATGTTAATTTCCTAAATATTGTTTAATTCACAATCAGTTAGTCCTCGATATGAGCGCCAATCCAATAGAGAAATGATGAAACTGAATGCAAATAATAAGCACAATTTAATGGTTTAATATTACTGATGATGTCGGAGGCAGTGATACCTTTTGTATAGACTCCGGGAAATCCTGGCTGAGCGCAGCCTTTTCCAAACGAAACGACACCCAATTGGTAATAACGACCGCTATATGACACCGTTAGTGAACCTCCAGAATCACCCTTTTATTAAAATACAATTGTGAGGCACTAATGGTTTGGGACACATATATCATACATACCTGACACGAGTCTTTGCCACCACTTGGATACGAAGCACACAATTGGTTTTCATTGATCTGATCGGACACAGTTAACAGAGAACTGTATCGCTTGGCGCAGTCTTCCAGTTCACTAATAGGGACCTCAACTTCTTGTAAAACTGGGCTTGGCTTTCCTCCCTATCCATTCAATATATGAGAATATGATTTGCTTTTAATTTCAATATTCGTGGTAATTCTTCATTGCTCATTAATTTGTGGTCAAATTAAAGGTAATATAGTATATTGGTGATGAAATAATATTAAGTATATTATATTTTTATATAAATGAGTATATATTTCATTATTGAGTTTTAAATGATAAACATATGGCAAATGAATTAATGTAAAAGTCATCGATCTATAAGTTTATCTTTTTTACACATTTTTCACTATTAATGAAGCCATAAATTTATATGAAATAATTAATGAATGTAAGCAAAACCTAAATTACCTGAGAAGTAGTACCCCATCCAACTAATGTACCCATTGTGCCGATAAGGTCTGCCCCCTCAATCTCGGGTGGGGGCAGACATACCGGTGCGATGTCTTTGTTATGCCTGAAGTCAAGCGGTTGAGTGAGTTTGAAAAGTGCGATATCATTGCGGTGTTGACCAAAAATAAAGTTTTCGTGAATTTTAATTTCCTGGACGTCGGCATAGAATCCGCTGTTTTTGTTGTCGTGGGCGCCGATCAGGATCTTGAAGTTACTCGCCGTCAGGATTTCGTTTTGCCGGACAATACAGTGCGCGGCCGACAGGACATACCACTCGGCGATTATGGTTCCGCCGCATATGAACCGAGACTTGAGTTTTTTGGTTTTGTATGAATTCTGGTATATAGCCACAGCCCAGGGCCACGAATGGGCCGGTGCTTCCGCGCCGCCAACAATAAAAAAGTTGTTATTTGGACGCAAACCACAGACTTTGAAATAAATGGAAATATATTTTATGAGTATTTGAGTGATTATATGAGATTTGATTGCATACTGGGCTCATTTGACGGAAGCACTGCCGCCCTATTGTTTATGGGACAGCATTTCATGTAATATGAAGAACTTGATGGACAGTACACCGGCTTCTTGTCGATGAGGTTGAGACAAACACCGGCCTTACAATATCCGGGACGACCCTCTCGTGTCACACATCGCTGTAATTGAGTGTCTCTGAAGACTCGACTATCTGTTGAATTAGTGCTGACTTTTGCTTTGTTGTCAGTTTCTGACACCACTTTCACTGAATCGCTATCTGATTGTTCACCAAAAGTTAATAAACAATTTAAACTCAAAATCAAAACTCTTAGAAAACACTTCTGGAAGACAATCATTTTGAGACTTATTTTTTGTGTCTCAGATTCAATGAACCGTTCAATTGGTTCATAAAATTTAAATTTAATTTATAAGTTGTATTAATAACCGAAAAGAAAGTTTAATCCAAGCGATTGTACGCCACTTGTGTTAACATCATTAGGGGTTATAAAACATAACAGCATTTCATTAACCATAAGTCACATTAAAATGTAAAAATTAATTGCTTTTGAAAATAGTCTGTTAATACAGTAGAGAAGTGAAAGATTACAAAATAAATTATATTATGTTGATTTCCCTTAAAAATAAGTTTGTAACAAATATGAGATCACAAACAAATTGAAATTTAATTTGTGTTTTGTCTGGTCATTACAGTAATTAGTAAAAATTTACACTATATTACAAACAACAGTTATAACATGAATATTTTATAAATAATCTTAAAGCTATGAAAATATAATTAGTTTTATAATACAGAACTAATTGAATAATAAACCATAAGTTATAAAATCCAACACTTGTTTGTGCATTAAATCCATGTAAGCCTTTACCACAGTTTACATCTCTCTTTTGGATTCATTCTATCATTTTCTTTACACTTAAAAACTTTGGAAAATTCCTTAGAGTTGCCAAAAGACGCTAATACTCTTAATAACACAAATAATTTTAGTAATTAGAAAAATATACTTTTAATTTAAAGGTAAATTTAAACCTATATTCAGAGAGACTATGAATTGAATTTCTAATGAATAATCTCTGGTATTGTGGTGTTAGTTTATGGCACCATACCTTTAAAATTAGTGGAAATTTTATAATTACTTTTTTTAGTAAATGTCAAATGGATAAGAGTTACTAATAGTAAGATAGTAAGAATGCTTATACATTACATTTGCTGCACTTATCCAGAATAACTGTTCCTGAGTATAGTTTAGACCAGGTAGAAGTAATTCATTTCCACGATGTCTAACAAATTCTTTATAACTCTATAAAAATAATTATACGGTAAATAATTTCACGTGTAATAAAAATAACTTATAATAAAAATGATTACTTTGAAAGCGGTATCAATACCCCCATTGTCTGCTATATCTTCCGAAAGAGTAGATCTGCCATTAATCTGATAAATGAATAAATCATTAAAACACAATATTTTCATTTTGTTAAATAAAATAAAATTAAATACACTATAATTTTTATATTGCCCAATATAACACTGGGCCTTTTGGTAAAACGTTTCTTTGACCTCCACATCCCACCAGTCCCTAAGGTTTCCCCTCTTATCAAATTTTCCGCCAATGTTGTCAAACGGATGGATCAATTCGTGTCCAATAATCCATCCCAAGGCGCCATAATTGAGGTAACTTTTAAAATACATTTTATTTATAAAATATAAATATTTATATTAAAGAATTGTCACAAACTTCGGTCGTTTTGTTCCAAAGAATATTCCCTCGAGAATCCAAATGGGAATTTTGATGCTATTTATATACGGAGAATAATAGGCATTCACGACAGTATTAGTCACTATATTCTGCCAACTATTTTATCAATAAATGATTAAAAATTAATTTAACATAATGAATAATCCTAAAAACAATTACTCAGATCTGTTGTTAATTGTATTTAATCGGTTATATTCGTTGTTTACATCATTCCTTTGAAGTCGAAGTAGATTTTCAAATAAATTATCACTTTCTAAATCTCCTAGCTTTAATTAAAGAAATAATTTTAAAATTAGTTTTTCAATTCAATTATAAAACAAACCGATTCGTAGATATTGTCAATTATATTTTCATTTAAGAGCTCATTTTTATAGCCAATAAAATGATTGATGAAATTAATTTTGATGATAGAGTTAGATCTCGTCTCGTCGTCCATCCAATCGAAAGCATCAAATTTGTTAATCAGAATCGACCGCATATTGTCATACATTTGAGTTGCCTTCAATCATAACATAAGTTTAGTTACAATTTACTGTTATAGAATAGATTATAAATATAGTTTGACAAACTAAAGTTCTTAGACAATGAGTATTACAGGTATTTAAGTCATTACAAGGGTGTAACTAACAGAAATTTTCAATAACATTCAATAAATATTTTCTATATTAAAATTATTAATTAGATTATGTTTTGATAATTAAATTAAATTAAATAACTGTAATATTTGTTAACCATTTTTCTCTTATCTTCTTTAGAGGAATCATTGGTGAGATAAAGAGATGTGATTCCGGTCTTCATATTAGTGGTCAATATATTTAAACAATTCTTCCAGTGTTTGGTATTTCGCTTCAATGAACGCATTTGTGAATAAAATTCATTTTCCAAATCTATCAAATTATTTCCCAAGACTTTAATAGATTGATACACTATTTTCCAAATCACAAAATTAGCCACAACTCTAAATCAATATAAATGCATAAATTATTATGTACAATTTAAAAATTATATGTTAATTAACCTTTTATGTTTTTGTGTGTAATCAACAATAATTTGATTTAAATCCTTTAGTGTTTGAATGTTAAACACAATTATAGTGTCGTCTTCATTGACAGTATAATTAGTCGAAAGCAAACCATTTAGAAGTTGAATCCACTCCTTGTTAGTGAAAGTTTATGAAATTAAATTCAATTTGAATTCAATTAATAATATTATAGAGATTTACATTGGAAAAGGTTGTGTAGACATCCCCAATAGTCACGGACTGATAATTACCAGAATTTATAATCGTCTGAATAGTAATTGAATTAAAGCTTGAAATTAATTGAAATGAATGATCACACGACTGAAGGATTACTTTTGCAATCAATGATTCCAAACGAATAACTTCTTTGAATTCCTGTTCAGCCCTCTGTTCATCCACTCCTAACACTACAGATATATCGACCATCAAATCTAAATATAATTTCATTTTATAAGTCCTATTATTGATTAATTCCTGTTTCGTAAGTGGACTCAATGTCGGCTCTAAAATCTATAACAAATTTCAAGGGTAAACGATCTTCAATAATAATATCTGTAAATGAATTTATATATATTGTTGTCAAACATATTTCTTACATAAATCTTGAATTCTTTGTTTCTCTTCATATTTGGCGCAACTCTTAATTTAAAGAAGAGATCCGTTTTGAATCCAAAACGCCTTAATTTAGTCATCAAATCACTGAAATTAAAGTTGGATTCATTCCAATGGCTGCCCTCGAGGACAGGCCACCCGCCCAACTGCTGTATGTATTTCATCAACGGTTCCGTCTCTAATCCATTTGCGAGGCCTATAAATTCAAATTAATTTCACATACAATTAAGTTTATCATACATTTTAAAATTACGGTAAAAACTTACTTAAGTTCATACAAGAATTGTACACTTTTTTCATATTCTTTACGGTTCTTGAATCACTTGCACTCAATGGTTGTGACAAAAGCTCTATATTTGAATTATGAAAACATTAATTTTAATATTAAATTGGTATAATGTATAAAGTAACCTTTCAATTTAAGGTCAATATTATCCTGCAATTGACTAAAAGTGGAAACAGAATCGCTGTCATCAGGAATAGGAGTCGAGTCCAGCCATCTTCCGCACGAAAATCGGTAAAAGTCATGACACGGAGACACCGACTCATCTAAATGTGCCAATATTTGTGATGCTATTCAGTTGATTTTGACAATAATCAATTAATATTGATAATTATTATATCAGTTATAATTTGGTATAAATTAAATAATTTATTTATTCACACCTGAATTGAGACACTCTTTTGTTTGACAAACTGATTGCAAATGAAAACAAATATTATTCTTAATTTGAATAAAATTTTATAATAAAAATAATGAAAATAATATAATTATTACCATTAGATTTACTGTAGCATTGAATGGATAGTAAAATAATGATAGCAATGATTAGGCCTAAGAAAAGGAGGGAAACAGCAGTCCAGCCGCAGATCAGAGTTTTCTCCAATTGAGTCCGAAGTCTCCACCAAATGCAGTGAAGTCTGGGTGTCGGTCGTCTTGTTATAACTGATCCATCGGACAAATATTGGCGACCATTAGTTGTCTCCATTGACACCAATCACTACATTAATCAATAAGACAACACATTCTGTTGTGTTGTTTCAGCTTTTCTATCGTGTAATTGCTTTTCTAATATTCAAATCTCATTTGTATTAATTTTATTGAATATATTATAGAAATATAAAAGCAAATTGTTGTTATGGAGATATTAATTTAAACTTTATGATTATTTACTTCAAAACAAAATGTCATAATCGATAAAAAGTGAATTAAGGATTTAATAAATAAATAAATTATAATTTAATGATTGCTAATAAATATTGATTGATTTAGCTAATTCTTATTCAATTAATTCTAGATTTATGATTTTTAGATGATTATGACATAAAGTTTATTTAATATATTAAGTCAATTTTATATTCTTAATTTTCTTAATTTCAATTGTAATACTATGTCATAAAAATTTAAATATTATTTTTATAGCGGATTAGGATTAGCTCTAAATTGAATGGAATTCTAAATAATTACATTTAAATGAGGAAAAGGATAGGAAAATTTGTCAATTAATCATAACTAGCATTGAACTAACAATTCATATAATATTACACCAAATAAATTGTCAAACGCGTCAACATTGAGAGGAAATACACAGTAAAGATTATTTTTATTTATGTTTTAAAAATACTGTATTAAAAAATGTTTATTAATTTACAAAATGTTTTACATGTATCCAAATTTACAAATTTCTTTTCTCAACTGTATTTCAATTATAACACTATTTCTCGATGTAATTGTTTGCATAGAATATAAGTGTGGAATTCCCGGCACTTCTCTCAAGACTAATATCAAAACAGAATTAAATAATGAAAAAGTTGTTGAAAATGGATTTAAAGTTAAATATAGGTTTGTTTTATATTTTATAGTTGATAAATAATATATTGTATGCTTATAAACAATATTATCGCACTTTAGTTGTGACTATAATGACGCGCCGTTTATAATCGGCTACAATGAAAGGGAATGTATAGCCGGGGAGTGGACACAATCCATACCAAAATGTGGTATAAACGACACTGAGATACTTTTTAAAATTATTTGCTAAATTATGTTATAATTGACAGCCACCTTATATACGGGTAAATATGATTACAACTATACAGTGAATGGCAATGCAGTCAACATATCACTGGAAAATTCTGCAAGAATTTCAGGAATTGTGGTCAAAGTGTCGTCAATAGAGCCCATAGAAGTGGTTAACATTAAGAACATCCCATCCCCGGAGTGTTTTGTAGCCAACTCTACATTCAAAGACAAAATACCCCTTCATTTGCCCAAAAGGTATTCAACACTATTTCATTGTCCGACAAAAGACGTCGACTTCAGGACTCATCCAAACGTGTCGTGGATTTTGATTACTTTTAGCGAGAAGTTCAGAAACTGTGAACTCCTGTCGTGTCCGGCAATCGTAGAGTTCATTGAGTTATACGAAGCCATTAACGACGAGTGCTTTAAACCGGATGTCCCGGCGTTTGGTAAAATAGTGGCCCTCAAAGACAGGGCTTCCACAATGAAATACAAATACCAGTGCCAAGACTTCTTCATTATGGAGGAGCGCAGGGCATCTGAGATTGTGTGCACACCTTATGAGGAATGGTCGCTTAAGAAGTTGCCAAAGTGTGTGCCAAATATTACGTGCAAAGTGGAACCGTTGGATGAGCTGAAAGTCACATTTAATTGGTTGTGGAGCGAGAGTGAGGCAGTGGTAGGAAGTGTGGCCTCATTTGAATGTCCCGATAATAACACTAAAATCAATGGATCCACAAAACGCGAGTGCGGTTCAGATGGTGAGTGGTCTGAGCTTTTGCCGCAATGTTTGCCTCATTTGACCACAACTACTGTCGAGACCACCACTGAATTGACCACAACATTGACGACCACTTTAAATCCCTATCCTTATAGTAAACATAAAGAAAACCAAACCCCGGAACCAACTGTTCATTCAAATCCCTATCCCTCTCCACCAGTGATTAAAGAGATTCAGTCGACAACTGGCGTCTCATATATAAATAGCGACCAAACTATAGATAATTCATTGAATTCAATACAATTCGTGTACATATTTTTAGGTCTTTTATTGGGAATTTTGATCACAATTAGTGTCATATATCTCATACATAAGAGACGGAAGTCTTCGCGACGTATCGAAAGTCAATCCAATCAACAGCTGAGAGGGGCTCACAATAACCACAGACCACGAGATGATCTCTTCTACGACCACATTAATTGTCCGCTCAATGAGAACCAACTGTCCAACCATTGCTTGAATGAGGGACTGGATAGCAATCAATGCACTATTAGTCCATACGATTCGTCCGGTTATATACAGATAGAGGCCGTCGAGTCGACCCGAATGAACACATTCAGGAAGTATGAGAATTACGAGACAAACAATAGTCGCAAACAAATCAAACCATTATGGGATGTTCTTAATGTTAACCACTTCTATGGGCTCTATTGACGACACTTTGACCACAATTCCTGAAATTCTTGCAGAATTTTCCAGTGATATGTTGACTGCATTGCCATTCACTGTATAGTTGTAGTCATATTTACCCGTATATAAGGCGGCTGTCAATTATAACATAATTTAGCAAATAATTTTACAAAAGTATCTCAGAGTGTCGTTTATACCACATTTTGGTATGGATTGTGTCCACTCCCCGTCCATACATTCCCTTTCGTTGTAGCCGATTATAAACGGCGCGTCATTATAGTCACAACTAAAGTGCGATAATATTGTTTATAAGTATACAATATATTATTTATCAACTATAAAATATAAAACAAACCTATATTTAACTTTAAATCCATTTTCAACAACTTTTTCATTATTTAATTCAGTTTTGATATTAGTCTTAAGAGAAGTGCCGGGAATTCCACACTTATATTCTATGCAAACGATTACATCGAGAAATAGTGTTATAATTGAAATACAGTTGAGAAAAGAAATTTGTAAATTTGGATACATGTAAAACATTTTGTAAATTAATAAACATTTTTTAATACAGTATTTTTAAAACATAAATA